TTTATGGCTGGTTTTTTTCCTGTTCGTAACTTTGAATCTGTTGTGCAACAATGGTGGGGACATAGTTCTTGGCAAAAGTTGAGATGATGGATTCTTGCTGAGTATGATTTCTATTTTCGGTTAGTAGGGAAGATACTATTGTTTTGATTCAGTCTATATTGGGTTGGACTTGAAATGTGTTGTCTTGCATTGCTACTGATGTTGATTCTGAACTTCAATCCTCCACGAGATGAACTATTTATTCAAGTTCTTTCACTTTGGTCGCTATTGAATCACTAATTTCGGTGTTTGTTGATGGTTGTTTCTTGGTCTGCATTGCTGATTTATTTGTTCAAGAACTCTGTTTTAGTTTCTTAATGGTTAGCTGCTTCTATGAAAAGGTAACATGGGACTTAAAAGCTTCACAACCAAGTGTCTATCTCAGAAAATCTAATAGAATGGAGAAAAAAATAAAGGTGAATAAAATAGGAAGGAGGCATCACACTTTCGATTCTAGTAGAATGGAAGAATGCATCGCACTTTTGATTCTTGTCTAAAATAGAACGAAATGAGGCATCACACTTTCAATTCTCGTCTAAAGTAAAACGGAAGTAGGCATCGTACTTTCGATTCTCGTCTAAAGTAGAACGGAATGAGACATCGCAATTTCGATTCTCGTTTAAAGTATAACAAAAGGAGGCATCGCTTTAGTTAGAAGTTCAATTTTTCAAAAAAAATCAAGAAGAATGAAGAAAAAAAGTTGAATGTTAGCAATATAATATAATAAAATGTAATTAGTTGGTATTGAATTAGTCAAAACTAACTGAGTTTGTTAAAAGTTGGTTAGTCTGTTGGATCAAAGTTGTTAAACTTATTTGAGTAGTGCTATATAAGTAATATTTGTAATGGGTTGAAGTACCTTTGATTAATACACTTTCAGTATATTTTCTTCTTTAAGTCTCTCTTCTTATACTCCGGTCATCGGTCGTTCCTCATATCTTGTCTCCTTTCTCACACTCCACCATTGGGTCTTTGAAAAACTCTGATTTGGTTGAGATCGGTAATTGTTTCCCTTCTCTCGAAGTGGTTGACATTAGCTATCCTGATCCTGGATGTGAGTTTTCCCCTAGCGGATCATTGGATTCAAAGATTTTTTCTGGTTTGGTTACTGTTGACAAAAACAGGTAAAGAAAACGAAAGAACACGAGAATTTTACGAGGTTCGGCAATGTGCTTACGTCCTCGGTGCCTAGGCGGCGCTAGAATTTTATTCAATTGATATTTTAGGTCTAGGTTACATCTCTATTTATAATAGAAAACCCTGGTACATAATTACAAAATTAACCCTGTACCGTACCGCGGGGACTACGCCCCCGCACCCCCAACCCACATAATTTGTAACCCCACAACGAGACTTTCTTTGTAAGGACAGTTGATGTTCGCTGCGTTCGCTTCGCTCACTTCGCTCCATCTCCTGTCTTCTTTACTGGTATATTTATGAGTCATACCTAACAGTTACTGATTATGGTATCCTTAGGTTGGCTTCATCGCTCAAGTGTTTGCGCAAGATTGATCTTTCTGGTAATACCTTCATAACCGATCAAGTTCTTGTTACTTTATCGTCCAATTGTTTGTTCTTGATTGAAATTGTGATTCGTGATTAGTGATTCGTGATTGCGATTTCATTACCCAGAGCGGAATTGCTTTGGCTATTCGTAGAAGTGATAATTTGAAGTCGATTTTCATCAATGGAATTGGATTTCCTTCGATTGATGCATGTTTTTTTGGATTCCTTTGCGTATGCCAGAAGTTTAAGCGAGCTTGATCTCTCCAATTCGTTTATATCTAATGAATTGTTGTGTTTAGTGGCTGAAGCTAACCTTCCATTGCACAAGATTGTTCTCTCTCGTTGCTTTTGTTTCACATTTGATGGGAATTATTTTCTCTTATCCAAGTACCCGTCTCTTACGTAGATCTTGAAGGAGCAAATTTTCTCAATGACGAATCCATGATAGAATTAGCCAAGTTCTTTGGTAATTTAACCTTTACAAACCCTTGGTTTATGCTATAAGCTAACCAATTCAACCTTGTTCTATCTTTTCGGAAACTGTCCTTTGCTAACAATTATCAATATGGAGAGAACAAACCTCGGGGTCGAATCAGTCCCAGCTGAAATTGTGGGGAATCCTCGAGTTAAGACATTACACTTGGGTTGGAATAACAAATTGAATGATGAATGCTTGAAAATGGCTTCCTATGTTTGCCCCAACTTGGAAGTACTCAACGTTACCTACTGCTCGGGTATTACCAAAGAAGGCATCTTGCAGATTATATGTTTAGAGATTAGTAAATGCCGAGGGGTTAATAATCTTGAATTGGACTTTGAACTTCCTAAACTAGAGGTTTTGCAAGCAGAAGGGTTGGCAATTGATGATGGGACATTGGCTTCAATCGGGAAGCGGTGTGGACGGTTATCCCGTTTGAATTTGGAAGGTTGCTTGAATGTGACCGCCAGAGGAGTTGAAGGCGTGATACTGAACTGCAAAGCATTGAAAGAGATGACCTTGAGATGGTGTAACAACGTGAGTCTAGACATTGTAGCTTGGATGGTGCTTTCAAGCAATCTGAGGAAAATTACACTGCCTTGTGGTTCAGTTCCTACTGCAAACAAGAAGGATTTTTTCTTACGCCATGGATGTTCGGTTTGTCAAGGTTAGTTTTTCAACAGAAGTGCAAAAAAAGCTCCATTTCTGTTCAATTATACATATATGTGTGTATATTATAAAATAATTAAACATCAAATTGCACAGTTAGATGATGAAACTATGCGTTGACTAGAATTGCATGGCATACGAACTAGTCGTTTTCTATTTGCTTTGTAATTTAGGTGAGTTGTTAAGTAAATTGCAGTATGGAGGTTGCTATGAACTATGATACAGAAGAAATAAATTCATTTCATTTCACGTTGTGTTTTAGTTAATCTGTTTGGCTTGTTTTTAGTGGCCAGATGAATGGGTTGGTCGTAAATACTCCAATTCTCTTCATATGATTCTCAAAGGATTCAACTTGTAAAAGAAACTAATAATATACAACACATATATCTTATCTAATATTCAGGTCATGACAAAAAGAATATATAATATCTCATGAGATTATAAAATATATAATTCGCTCAAATCTTATTACGTTCATACTTCCCTTCTACAAGTATTTATAAGCCAGAGTTAATCTCATATAAGTCTCCAGTCTTTATTATTTTACCTCCTAAAAACAAGTAGTAAAGTGACAATCTCAACGGATGTACATAGTCATGGAAACGAACAGAACGTTCAACGAAACAAACTGAACGTTCAACGAACCGTTCATGAATCATTCAGCGGGAAGTTCGTTTATATTCGTTCATTTATTAAACGAACGAATATGAACAAGATTGTGTGTTCGTTTAATTAAATGAATGAACACGAATAGAAGACTCGTTCGCTCATTTACGTTCGCGAACGTTCAGTAATATGTTCGTTCATTTATGTTTGTTTATGTTTAGCCCAATCTCTCTAGATCCTATTTAAAATATTAAAGCCAATAAAATTTTAATTTGGTACCCATAAATATTTTAAAATTCAATTAATTTTAAATACAAATAAAAAAGCCCAAAACAATTAAATAAAATATAATCTTAAAATTGTTAGGAAAGAGAAAAATATATTTTCATTTATGTTCGTTTACGTTCATTTATGTTCATTTATTGTGTTCGTTTAGGTTCATTTGTTTTCGTTTATGTTCGTTTACATCCGTTCGTTTATTATCGTTCATTTGTGTTCGTTTATCATTTAAATGACGAACATGAACGAACACGAACAAGCTACATTCCTTAACGAATGAACACAAACAAAAATTTTTTTGTTCTCTTTCGTTCATTTATTCAATTAAAGTTAAACGAACGAACATAAATATACTCACATTCATATTCGTTCCGTTCGTTTATAAGACTAAATGTACCTCTTAGACTTAGACTGCGGGAGAATTGATTTGAAAGGTAATATAGCCTCCCTCTCTTTTCCCGAAAATGCTAACGTGAGCTAGATTTTGTACTGGTAATCGACAATGATGATGCCTTTATGTTCGTCAAAACTAGGTTTATACTTTATATAGTCTGTCTACTAAATTCACTGCAACTCAACTTATTACAGAAGAATTTGATTTGGTTAAGCGATTGACAACAAAGGCAAAATAATTTCCTTTATCATTTAACTATCGACTAATTCAATTCCCTTTTAAGTGAAATTAATTTAATTCACTAAAACAACGTAACATTGGAATAGCTTTAAAAAGAAACAAATACAACCGCTATATCAGAAGACTCACACTCATAAAGATAAAGATAAAAGATAAAGCATTCAAAGCATCATTAGTTAAAAAAAACATGAATAAAACAAAATTTTAACGAGTTTAATGAAGAAGTCAAATAAAAATATTTTTAACAAGTACGAATTTTCAACTCGTGATTGATTACTCACACATAAAGATAAAGCATTCAAAGTATATGAGAAGATTAATTTACTATATATATGTATCAGTTTCATTATATATGGTGTTAGATTTTGACTTACAGCCCAGAAAACAAAAGCCAGAGAAGCTTTTCTTCAATGCACCATACAAAAAGCATCATTAGTTTCAGTTAAACAAGGTTAGAGATAAAAGAAACTGGTAATAGCTAGGGAGGAATTGGCCGTTTCATTAATTATTTAACGTAATGGCCTTGCTATTAAGTTCAACGTCCGGCTTCAAGTCCAACTCCAACTTCCCTTTGCCTACAGTTCCACCAAGGCTACTATCACAACTGAACAGCTGATCCACGGAGGCTACCACCGCGCATTTTCTCTCGGTTTTAGCTTTACCTTTGACCTTCTTCCTTGCCTCTGGAGACGACGACGAGGTGGAGGGTGACGACAGAGCTGGCATAGCTGATGGAATTTCGAAGTTGGTCTTGGCTTTCGACCCTCTCAGCCGCCTTGCCACTGAATCTTAAGCACGCGCAGCTTCCTCCGCCGTGTCGAACGTGCCTAGCCAGTGCCTGCACCGCCCAATACGGTCACGTATCTCCGCTGACCACCTCTTTCTCACTCCCCTGTAGATTTTCTGCACTGAAACCGTACTGCCCTGGTCTCTTTTGTTAGACCCGAAACGTTGTGACACCGAGACGAAACCAGACTGATCGCCACTGTTGCTGTGGTTATTCTCAGCAGGGTTGATCTTGTTACCAAGCAGAACGTGCCGGCCAACCATGGCGGCTATCCCATCAAGAATTGAAGGTATTTCAGGACCGGTTTCGATTTCAGTTTCAAGTTCATTTTCATGGTTCCTGTCAAAGCCATTAAAAGATAAAACGCCTAAAAAATCAGTGCAAAAGGGTTGATAGTTTCGCTTGTGAAAATGGGTCGGGGCAATCATTGAGGAGCAAGAAGGTATTTGAGAAATAAACTCGGGACGATTGTAAGGCCAAGGCTTTTCAGACGTCTCTGTGGTATTGAAGAACGGAAGATCTTGGAGAGCATGGTAATGTGCAATGGCGGGGCTTTGCAAATAGGTGGAGTCATTGAGGAAGACAGATATTCAGAGATCGATAAATGGGCATTTTTACCGAAATCAACCTTATCACACACCCTCTCCTCAAATATTATTGGTCTACCACTCTTTCTGACAAAACGGCAATAAAGAGTGGATCGCTTTCGGTGCCTTCGTGGGATTTTGTACGAGTGGATGCCACGCATCATCTGTGCCTTCGCGGGGTTCTGGCACGTACCACAATAAAATTACTTACTTATTCTCACTTCTATCAATTTCTTCTATCAAACTAAGTACATTTTGTTATTGTTTTTATAAGGTAAATTTATTTTTATTATATTTATTTTATATTTAATTATTTTAACAAATTTTATTATACTAATTATTTTATATTATTTTTTACAATTGTAAAATTAGAAAGTGAAATCATATCTGAAGACATTTTACCAATACGTTAACAATATGAAATTATGTTGTTTAAATTATAGTGAATTTTTTTTAATTTTTTTATTAGTTTATATTTTAATTCATATATTATTTATTTAATTAGGTGTATTTCAGTTGTTTTTACTATGATGGAGAAATTCGAGAAGATGAAACCGGTGTCGTGTTCGCATCAAATCATTCTGTCATAATATCCTTCAAGAGAAATAACACTCTTAAGGAGCTAATCACTAAAAATTCAAGGAAAGTTCATGTTGGAAGTGTAGAATACTATCCTCACTTCAGTACATATTTCCAACTACAATATTTCCATTAACTTATACAGCGTTCGAACTCTCCAACGATGATGTAACACACATATTTCGTATACCTTTCCGTACACGACATACGGATGTCACATCACTTTTTAAAACATTTTGTCATTTGAAAACCCGTAAAATTTAGTTTCAATTTTAACAACCACAAAGTATGATGTTCATAGAAGCAAAATATTAAAACTATCATTTTAAATACATTACAAAAATATTTACTTTAGTTCCATTACATGCCAACTAAGTTTTCAAAATGAATAACATTATCCTTATGTTACTGACGAGTCAACCTTTAATTGATGAAAGTTGTTACTGCTGCACTCCTTACTCGACAAAACCTTAATTGTTCCCTAAGCGTGAAATCAACACACGTTAAGTATTTACTTAGTGAGACATAATACTGTAAAGATATCACAATTTATACATAATTATTTTATGACTACTGAATGATGAATTAAATTTCATAATCCATAAGGACCAGATAAGCCTTTATCAGTTAAACCATGATTCTTTCATACAATTATCAGAATTTTTCTTAGTAGGCCCAGCATACCTATCATTCTGTATATTTTCTCCCCATTATTCATTAATTGCCCTGAGTACATTGAATGAGAAAATACTATACATGTATTGCACTAAAGTGCCAATCGATCATGTATCTTTTATAATAATTATGGGCGGCACCTTAAGTACTGTTAACACACCATTTTATATTTTTATTTGGGACATCCTTTCATGCCCATTAAGTATTTTTTACATTGTTCTTTATGACTTCCAATCATACCAATTATGCATTGTTGTATATTTTATCTATATGACATCATTTCATACCACTTATGCTCCGTTTATATTAAAATGCATTATAATTCCTTTAGTCTTTTACCCAAAGGCCTTTAGCCGTTCACCTAACTTGCATGATTGACACTTTTCTGCCACATGCACAGCTAGGCCATTACTCAAATGTATTTAACCTTTCATCTAACTAGCATAATTGACACTTTTCTGTCAAATGCACAACTAGGCCATTAATCTTTTACTCAAAAGTATTTAACCTTTCATCTAACTGGCATAATTGACACCTTTCTGCAAAATGCACAACTAGGCCATTAATCTTTTAATTTAGAACTGTTCTTACTCTAATAATTATTCACAATATCACTTAACTCTTTCAATTCATTAAAAATTCTATAGTTTGTATACGTCATGCCAATACGATAATTCACAAACTTTTTATAATTTACGTGGGTTGCACACCCACTACCAATACGGTAATTCATAAACTTATTATGAATTTCTTAGTTTTTCACTAATTTGTATCATCCATAAGGATTAGATAAGTCCCTATTATTGAAACCAAACTTCTTTCATACTATTATCATAAACATCCTTAGTATGTCCAACATACATTTCTTTCTTTTACATTTTTCTTTTCATATTTCTTTAGTAATTATTCGTTAATTTCATTTATGGCATCCTTTCATGCCTTAATGCATTCTTTCATGCATTTCATTTATAGCATCCTTTCATGCCTTAATGCATCCGTTCATGCATTTTTAGTTATGGCATTCTTTAATGCCTTAATGCATCATTTCATGCCTTAATGCATCCTTTCATGAATTTCATTTATGGCATCCTTTCATGCCTTAATGCATCCTTTCATGCATTTCAGTTATGGCATCCTTTCATGCCTTAATCCATCCGTTCATGCATTTCTAGTTATGGCATCCTTTCATGCCTTAATGCATCCTTTCATGTCTTAATGCATCCGTTCATGCATTTTTAGTTATGGCATCCTTTCATGCCTTTATGTCCGTTCATGCATTTTTAGTTATGGAATCCTTTCATGCCTTAATGCATCCGTTCATACATTTTTAGTTATGGCATCCTTTCATGCCTCAATGCATCCTTTCATGCATTTCATTTATGGTATCCTTTCATGCATTTCAGTTATGACATCCATTCATGCCTTAATGCATCCGTTCATGCATTTTTAGTTATTAATTTGGTTCAGAGCAGTTCATGCTCTAAAACTCATTCATAACACTCTTTCCATACATATAACGACAACATAATCCATATTATAAAACATACATAAATTTAAACATTCTAATTTGCATCTTCTTTATCTTAAATAATTACAATAAGGTACTCACCTGATAATCCCACTAATAAGATGTAGAGATATATAGGTAATCAATAACTTTATTTTCCCCCTTTTCTTGCTAGATTCAGGAGCTTGGTTATGATCTACACTATCATCCATTCAAGACATATATCATACCAAATGTTAGTATATTCCCTAACATTTATACTTTAATACTTAAAAGTATCATTCCTTTCTATTTCTATAAAACTTTCAATCTATATTATAGTTTCAAGCTCATTAGTATCATTACTACTACCCTTGTATCGATACTTCTATACTATGGTACCAATATTCATTTCAATATCGATAATATTTATATATTTTGTGTTTCCTGGTATTGATACCCTTCTCTCAGTATCGATACTACTATACTATGGTACTGATACTCCCTTTTAGTATCGATACCATTTTGACATTCTGGATCCATGGTATCAATACTTCCCTTTGTTAATATCGATACCCCATCAGTATCGATACCACTTGCATCGGTACCGATACTGTTCGTCTAATTTCTACCTATTTACACCTATAGGTATCGGTATTGTTCTATCAGTACCGATACCATTGCCCATATTTACCGTTTTTCAGCTCGATTTTCACTTAATTTTCCCTCTAATATTATACTTTTACCTCCAACAATACTATTTAACTTCTCTTTACTTAACCCAACTAACTTTACTTCATTTTACCACCTTTTACATCTAACATCTTCATAGAACATCTCAACTCAAGAATCATATCATTTTTCTAAACATGTTTTTAATCATATCTCATGCTTATAATCTCTTATTCAATCATTTAACAAGTCAATTCTACTAATAAACCTCAATAAAAACATACATATCAACATATCATTCAAAAACCCATTTCTTTAAATCTCCTATAAAACATCCACCACTTAGTTTTAACCTTCTTTAATCATTCCTTAAGCTTACATATCACTTAATGTTACCAAAGCAACCCAAAATTTAAAGGAATAACTAGCTAATGGAAGTTTACCTTATGCTAGAGAGTAGAGCACTACCCACGTGATAGAAGAAGAATAATAGAATATAAATGGCTACTTTCCTCTTTTCCCCCTTTTAAAATCCCTAATAGGGAATACATTAAAAATTCATTTTTCCTCTTAAAAGACCAAAGTGCCCTCTTAATTTACCTATTGTTACAAATTAGTCTAAACATTATTCCAATCATTTCCTCATCTTTTACCACTTATTCAAATAAATCTTAAATTTTCAAATCTTTTCAATAAAGTCCTTGACCTGATATTTGGGGTATTACAATTCTCCCCCTTAAGAAAAATTCGTTCTCAATTTTAAAGACTTTATACCTTTACCACCACAATTTAACTAGAGGAATTGTTTGGTTACAGGGTTTTTGGATTTTCTTGAGTCTAGGTATGCATTGGTTCTTTTTCATAATTCAACTCTGGTCGAACTCTATTTTCCCCAATTTAATAACATGCAATGGATCTGATCAATAATTAATAAGTAATGACACATGAAAACATTATAGGTCTTGTCCATTTCGAGAGGCAAAAATGAACTAATAAAAATCTCATAAGGTTCAATAACTCTCGGACTCAGTCTACACTACAATAATTCCTCCCAATGCGATACTTTCAGAAACAATTTATCACTATCTTGTTATTCAATCTCCTTTATCTTTAGATATGCATAAGACTTTTGTCAATCGAAAGCATTTTTAACAAATTATCTTGTGTAACTTTCATTTTATAATCAATTTCTTTCATTAACTTATGGCCACCTAGATTCCGATCTAATAAAAAACATTGGCTTCAACTTTAATTCAGCTTACAATGCCATTTTCATTCAATACTAATTACACATCCATAGCTCTCAAAATTGCCGAAGGTTTCTGACCAAGTACATCCGCAACAACCTTGGCCTTTCCTGGAAGATAATCAATGATCACATCATAATCCTTTACCCTACTCAAGCTGTATAAACACTGGTGTCTCTATTACAATCCTCTTTAGCATTTAACAACTCTCTTGACCTCTTTTCCATTCTGCAAAAGACATATCTTTCTTTAACAACCTGGTTAGCAGTAAAGCTAACATCAAAAAGTTTTTCACTAACCTTCGATAGTAACCAGTAAGTCCTCAAAGAAATCTAAACTTCAGGATCATTTTTTAGGAGTTTCCAATTATTACAACATGAGTTTTCCTTACAATCTGTTCTTATACCGTATGCTAAAACAATCTGGCCAAAGAAAACCATCTCTGCTAACCAGAATTTCACATTGGTATAGTTTGGCATACAAGTTCTTCTCTCGAAGAGTC